AGAAAAATTTCGTAACGTGTTATTTCTCTTAGCACTACATCTGCAGTGATGGAATGCAAAGGGATCCAGGTGTCCCACATACTACAAAATTCTGCATGGGCCGAGACCTTACATACACTATATACGTAACCTTGGTATGAAGAGAAATTTTACCTTTAGGCATGGTCCATTAGCAAGGAATCATCAAAAAACTATCCTTGGCTTAGGCTGAGAATAGTCTCTCCATCCCTCTTGACTTGAGTTGAGAGCCAAAGTCCAAGATGAGGTGCTGATCTATGTCTATGTTATGTCCCATATCCTTAAGTGTTCACTACCCAAAATCAGCCTCAAAAAGAAACAGGTTTTTAATGGCACTAATTGTCTTTTATCTATATATAGCTATATATAGCTATATATCTATCTATATGTATAGATAGATATATAGCTATATATAGATATATATCTATCTATATGTATAGATAGATAAGACATTTAAAGTGAAGTTTCATTGGTATGAGGTCTTGAGTTCTCTTCCTCCAGCAGAGCTATTCTTTGTTTGAGCATCCTCACTTGCGTCTCATGCCTTTCAACCATGGCCATCATTTGTGACTCCAGTTTCTTCAGTTTGTTTTGATGCTTCTTCTTTGCTTTCTCATAGGCTGCCACCAGGTTACTATTGGAAACAAGCAGCAATATAAGAACATTCAATATAGCTGACTCAAGGCACATACTTAGAAACTGAGGCACCCAAAATCAACAACCACTTACAAAAATTTGACACACAGATTTCCCCACCTGAAATCAAACTTTTTTTTTCCCCCTTAAGGTTTACAAAATGACTCCCTTGCAAGCCAGGACCTTGTTTCCAAAGTCTCAGCCTTGAGTGAACTAGTGTTCTTCCCAGAAAATAAAAATGAGCAAATAAAAGCCTGAGACGCCCACAGTACAAGGAGCAGGAAACGGGACCTGAAAAATCCAAGACAGCGCAACTTGTCACTTTTGTTAGTGCCTACAGAAGCGATTCTTAGCCAGGTGCATCAGCACCATGGGGTACCTTGAGTCCTTTCAAGGGTGCCACAAGGTATCAAGGAGGGTGTTAGCACTGTTAGGTGTGTAGGCATGATTCACAAGATAAACCCAGAGATTTCAAATAGGAATCCAGAGTATTAAAAACATGCTGACCTGTTGTGGTCTTTCTGACTTCTTTTCAACAGAAGAATTTCTCTATTATTTTTCTGTAGTAAAAAACTGAATGAAAACCAAGAGTTGGCATTTTCTAAGGGGTGTCTTGAGTTGAACAAGGAGGTTCTTGGTTGAGAACCACGTGCCTACGTGCGTGCAATGTGTGCAATGCCAGTAAAGCCAACTCTCATGAAAAAAAAATCATGAGACTCCTGATTTCCAAGTCAAATTAAGTCTGACTCATGATCTCCTGATAGAGCAAATCTCAGGATTTTTTCTTCTGGCACACGGAGAGAGAGTGCTGAGCTGGTAAGTGTGTGGAGGGGAAGCGGCGGGTGGTGGGTGGGGAAAGATCGAGGCCCCCACTGTGAGGGAGGGAGTGGGGCAGGGGTGAATGGGGCCTTGGGGCCGGGGCAAGTCATGCAACACAGTCGTGGGCGTCTGACTGGCTCTGTGTGTGTGTGTGTGTGTCTGCCCTTCAGTCCCAAGCCACAGCCCCCCCAGCCCTGCTGCTGCCCCTCACTCCTGACCTAACACATCTTGTCAGGGTGTGCAGGGACCCCCCACCCTGGGCTCCAAACCTCCCCCCCCCAACACACACACAAACACTTCAAAAATAGCCTCTCAATTCAAAAATAGCATTCCAAATCTCTTGATTTTTAAGAGTTTGTCTTGATTTTTGACACAATGGGGTTGGGACCACATATAGGCTAGTATGCTAGGGCACAATGCAATTCCATGATACCATAGCTTGAGTTGTTAGTTTTGAGGGACCTCAATTGGCAGAGATGTTAATAGGAATGGGACTGCTCTCTCTCAAGGAACTAGACTCTGGAGGTGTGACTATACCACTTTTGTGGCATAGTCTATTAGTCACAGGACTGACACTCAGAAGCAGGCCCCAGCCAAACCACAAAAAAACAAAGCAATGCAGCTGGCTCAGAGCAGCCTTGCCTGGCCACCTCAGCATTTGTGCCCAGGTGGCTGTGTCCTGAGTAGGAATGAGTATGTGCTTCCTGACACCAGTCCCAGGCCTGGCGCACAGGTTGTGTGGGGAAGACATAGGTGTATGACCTGTTGTGTTTTGTTAATGGGGACAACATCAGGTAGGTCTACAACCAAAATCGAGATGCTGTACCTACAAGATTTGTGAAACATAATAAACCACGTTTTAATTAAATAACAGTCACACAAAGTTCAACAAAGGAAAGATTTTCCCAGCGTGTCCCGTAAGTGTTGGGAACTTCAGCTCAACTGTGTATTGTTAGTGCATACGAACCAGGAAGTTGCATTGACTAGCCTAGGAAGGAAGTTAAATAAAGCAAAGGGCATCATGGTGAAACGTATTTTAGTTTTTTCCATGTTCTATTTTAATTGGAAAGGAGGGTTGGAGCGGGCAGATGGTCTGACAGACAGGGTACCTGGCTGGGGTTTGGAACGTAGGTTCCAGTATGAATTTGGGTACATCACTGAATCTCTCTGTGCCACCTGTAAAAAGTTTGTGGGGTGCCCAGATATTACACTGATGTGGATCATGTAAGTACTCAAATTGACCTTGAGTGTGTGCCTGCTTAAAGTCCAACAACACACGTTAACATTTACTTGCCAAATGCACTATTGTCAAATCCCTATTGCCTCCCCTTCTATTCAATAGGAAAGCACCAGGTGGATACTGACTGAATATCTAGGCTAGCTTGTCACCACAATGGCCAAGCCCTTCTGTGACAGTTAGACTAGAGCACACAAATGACACACTACATGGTGAATATTTGACTCTGAGCATAAGAAAGACCAATGCCACTATTAACTCTCAGTCTATCAAAATCTACAGCTGATGCAGACCAGCTGGTGGGGTTGGAGGGAGATGGGATGGGACAGGACACTACCAAACATTTCACTGCCTGGGATTATGGAAGCAAATTTGATAGGAAGAGAATTTGAAAGGATCAGTGGAGATGAATGAGCCAGGCTCAAGGGAAGGGGAGATTGCAGCAAAGTGCTCTAAATCATAAGCATGGCTAAATGGAGCAATCATTTGTAATGCTTCCCTTTTAGGGGGTGGGGGGGAGAGAACAGCCCAGCAGCAATATAACTGATCCCATTTCATCCCGCTACAGAGTTCTCACTGTGCTGAGCAAGAGGGATTTACCCCCTGCCCTCAAGGATAACCTTGCAACCTTTCAGACTACTGGCGTGAAGCTGAGGATGTAAAGCCTGCTCATTAAGGCAGGAAAAGGATTAACAGTGCACTACGGGAGTGCAGCAGAAATCATACGTGCATCCGCTCGCTAGAAAATCCTTTACCTGTTTGCCCTTTTCAGGTCATTCACAAACTCTGCAGACTGCTGATGTCGGATTTCGCTGCTCTTTGTGAGCCTCTCTAAGGCACTCACTAACTCCTGCACTCTGGCTTTCAGTTTCTTCTCTCTGCATCAGGACACAAGGAAAGAAGAAAAATCAGTTAACTGCACAATAGCAATGCTTGGACTTGCCTGAGTTTGGATAGTAGTCAGCCACATGCCTTCTGGGTCAGGGTTATGGGAAGAAGGCATTTCCTTTATGCAACTCTGATAATGCAAGATTTATTTCTCAGTGAAATTGCTTCAAACTCGATTTAAAAATGCAAAGTAGCAACCTCACCAATTACTAATGGAGGACAAAAGGTCATGTGGGCAAACGTAGGGCAAAATTCTGTGACCACAGGGGTCTTCTTATTCACGACACCTCATTAAAAGATAATAAACAAGAGTAGGATGCGTAACAGTCACAGTTAAAGAGAGCGATCGGTGGAAGATATTGGTTCATGCCATGTTCTGTGCACTGTGTGTGTCATGGCAACTCAGCTAAAGAAACTGTAAAGAATTTAAGCTTCAAGGTACTATGTATATAGAAAAGGTATAATCATTGTGTATGCTGGATTACTAATCAAGGCAATTTGCTACTCAAGCACTTGTTTGTTTTGACTTAAACATTTTCTTCAGTAGAGGGGAAAAAAAGAAACTACAGGAAGACTCGGAGTATAAGACGAAGACTCAGTGTGTAAGAGGAAGACATCAAACAGTGAAGCTTCCCCAGCATCCCAGATCCCAGGAGGCACGGAAGCAAAACATCAATCCAATGCACCCAACAGCCTGAGCTTGCTGCCCTGGATTAGGAATGCATCAATTCATGGAGCAGAATGAAGCGGGATGGTCATGAGCAGAACCAAGTCACAGTGTAAAGACGTGACCCACAGCAGACATCGTTCTCCTGCAGCTCTGCACAACGCTGTGTTTACAAAAGACCCTTTGCAGTCGAGACTTATGAAATAGTTGAGAAATGGTTTATGAATCATATTTTAAAATATAGTTTTAAAGGTTTTAACACAGTTACCACAACAGGTTTACACCAGAATAAGATGGATCATTAATACTGATTAGGAATGATTAGGAGCCTTTTTTATTTGGCAGTGGGAAATACAAGGGATGAAGAAACAATAATATGAAATGGAGAGTGAGAGCAAGAGGCAGCAAGAGAAAGACTTCAGGGATTTCTTCAGCCAGGGATCTTCCAGGCCAAATTTTTGCCAGGAGTACTCTTAACCCTCCCTGAGTACCCTTCCCTTGCCCGACTTGCTGCTTTGCTTTCTGCTTCCTGAACTGTTAACTGAGGATTTTAAACAGGTTTTAAAAAAAAATTCCTAACGTTGGTAAAAAGGCAGCACAAAATACATGAGAGTGAGCATGTCCACAAAGTATACAGTTAAATGATCAGACACCATCTTTCCACAGGACCCCCTGCCTCCATCAAATGCACAAGGTCAAGCTGCTTTTTGGGTGAACCAGGGTTTTGCAACTGTGCCGTGCAGACCCCGCCCCGTCTGTGAGGCAGAGGATTTCAGAAGGGAAGGGGCAGTTCCTTGGTTAAGGCAGCTGGAGGCAGCCTGGGAGAACAGTGGTCTGTCCTTGACCCTGCCAAAGTTCCCGTGTGACACTTGGCAAGTCACTTAAAAACCAAACTTCTCAGAGGCAGTCAACTAACGGTATATTTCTCCTTTTCTGAGGGCCCAATCTGAGACCCTAGGGCCTGATCTGCAGAAATGTTGAGCACTCAGAGCTATAACTGAAGTCAGTGGGAGCTGCACTTTACACAGATGAACTGCTATATAAATAAGTGTTCTTAAAAATCAGTCCTTGGGGTCTCAATTTGAGCAACACAAATCAGTGGACCCTTTTGACCTTTATCTCCATACCTCAGGCTCCCACCTATAGAATGGGTATAGTAATATCATCTTAAAGGGTGTTCAGAAGATGAATTAATGTTTGTGAGGCATTTAGGGCTAAATCCAGGAAGGTTCTTAGGTGTCTAACTGCAATCTTAAACACCCACATCCAAAATCTGGATTCTCAAAACATTTCTTCAGCTGCCACTTACCCCTGCCCAATTTGCACTGGATGCACTGAAATTTCTTGCTGCTAGTCATGTGCACAACACCACATATCTTCAGCACTTAAACTGAAAACTGGGTGCTATACCTGGGGGGTAGGCGACAGACAGATGGACAGGAAAGTGGTGCAGTTACACCCCCACTTTGATCCCTGCTCCACCCAAATTTTAAAAGCAACTGCCTTGCAGTAGGCAGCATCAGTGAGGGAGTCAGCTGACATTGTGGCTCATTATCATCTACCTGATCCCTTCTAAACTCTCCATTCCACAGGTATTAACGACCCTCTCTCCTTTTTAATGGCCTTTAATGGTTCCAGTAATCAAGGCACAGCCTTTATGCTGCAAGTCTGCTGTCTGCTACCTGTTTCTGGTAATGTAGCTCCTATTTCACAGCTCTACAAAATGCTTTTAACACTAGGAGAAACATTAACTCAGGTGTGGAAATAATGTTCAGCGAACCACTGGATGCACTGTCAAGATGCTCAAGAAAGTTAGATTTTGTTTTATGACTCTTAAAAAGATGTCCATTTAATTCTAAGGGCTCCAGGAGTAATGAAACATCTTTTGATTATTTTTGCCTTGTTTGTTTTGTTTTTACACAGAATATATGAATAGCAAATTAATGCCCATTCCAATAAAGTTATATTTATTTTTGCTTGGATCTTAAACTGAACAATACAGCCCCATGCCCCTGGTCTATTAAAGTTTCTAATTTCTTTTTAACTAGAGAAAAAAAGTGTTGTGCTATATGTGATGATGCACCACGCTAGCTGCATCCCTCTGTTCAAAAAGCTAGATCTGCTTTTGCTAGACGGCTATACCCCAGCACCGTTTGTTAAGTAGACATTCTGCTTACCATGACTGTGAGGCTTAGTCCAGCAGAGGTTTTTAGTACATGTCGAGTAGACTGAGTCGCACACAAAACAGAGTGAGGAGGAGGAAGAGGGGATATCGCCCTTTTACCCATATGTCAGTGAGCACTACCCTGAAGGATGCAGAAAACCACTGCAGAAACACCTCTTTTTCTGTCTAACTGGACGGAGAGTGCATGAGAAAGTGAGAGAGAGGCCGAGGTTACTCTATAGCCCAGTGATTACAGTACTCGCCTGGGATGTGCAAGAACCATGTTTAAATCCAGGGCTTACGGCTCTCTCCTGAAAGGTGGGAGATCTGCGTTCAAATCCTGCTACAAACCAGAAAAAGAGGGATAACTGTGGGCCCCCTTATTCCTGATGATTGCTCTTATCACTGGGCTGTTGGGTAAAACGGGACGTGACCTGGCTTAACAGCTCTGCCGCAAAAGGCTTGTAGCTGTGAGTTCGGAGCAGCAGGAAATGCCTCCCTTCCACGCAGATGGAGTTCAGTTCCTATGTCCCTGAAAGGGGCAAGGCTCAAGTCCTGAACCCTGATGCTCCTGCTACTACTCTTATGCCAATGCATTGTTGAGGGGGGGCTGGGAAACGACCTCAGAGCTGTGGAGTCCACTGGGCAGATGCAGGTGACAGATGTTGCAGTACTGGACCTAAACCTCCCTTGTGAGCCGGCAGGGCCCTTGTGTTTATTGAGCATATATGCCCCAACTTTACTGACTACAGTCATTCCTGC